CCAGAAAGAAGTGCCTCCCTCTTCTCTCCCCCCGTGGAAAGCCGGACACAAGGAGGGATGGGGAGGGAAAAGGCACAAAGCCGGCGTCGGGAGGGAGGCAGCAGGGATGGCTTGGGAGAGGGATGGAGGCAAAGAGGAGGAGGAGGAGGAGGAGGAGGAGGAGGAGGAGGGAGGAAGGCAGCCGACTTTATTCAGAGCCAGGTCGATTTCCGGTTAGGACGCTTTGTATTTTTTGTATAGATATATCTTTCTCCCATCTCATTCAAAGGGAAACCAGGAGGGACCCGATATCCGCGGCTCCTGGATGCCACCAATAAGCTAATCTGAAAGCATCATCTTCATCATCTCAATCATCTTCATCTTCTTCATCATCATAATCTTCATCATCTCAATCATCTTCATCATCTTCTTCATCATCTTCTTCATCATCATCATCCTCATCTTCATCCTCATCTTCATGCTCATCTTCTTCACCATCTTCATCATCATCTTCTTTATCATCTTCATCATCAACATCTTCATCATCAGCATTCTCATTATTATTATCTTCATCAACATCTTCTTCATCTTTATAATCATCATCTTCTTCATCTTCTTCATCATCTTCATATATATATATATATATATACACACACACATACACACACACACATATATCTCATCTCATTCAAAGGGAAACCAGGAGGGACCCGACATCCGCGGTTCCTGGATGCCACCCATAAGCTAATCTGGAAGCATCGTCTTTATCATCATCATCATCATCTTCTTCATCATCAACATAATCTTCATCCTCATCATCCTCATCTTCATCCTCATCTTCTTCACCATCTTCATCATCATAATCATCATCAACATCTTCATCATTGTCTTCATCTTCTTCTTCATCATCATCTTTATCATCATCTTCATCATCATCAACATCTTCATCATCTTCATCTTCTTTTACATCATCATCATCATCAACATCTTCATCATCATCATCTTCATCATCTTCTTCATTACCTTCTTCATCGACGTCATCATCTTCTTCATCATCTTCATATATATATATATATATATCATTCAAAGAAAAAGGAGGAAGGACCCAACATCCATGGTTCCTGGATGCCACCAATAAGCTAACCTGAAAGTATCATCTTCATCATCATCATCTTCATCATCATCTTCATCATCATCTTCTACATCATCATCTTCTTCATCATCACCACCATCATCATCACCATGGGATATTGTGAGTCATTTGTGATAGACCACAATGGTACATTTCGGTGAAGGGTGACTTGTCTAGATGGCCTTCAAATTGCCCACTTATGGCCTGTGTAGATAGGTGATGCTGTGTGCAGCATCTAAGATGGATGTGTCAAGAGGTGTTGTGAGTTTTCCAGGCTGTATGGCCATGTTCCAGAAGCATTCTCTCCTGACGTTTCGCCTGCATCTATGGCAGACATCCCAAGAGGTTGTGAGATACTCATACCTATTGGCAGGCATCCTCAGAAGTTGCAAGATCCTTACATCTATGGCAGACATCTTGAGAGATTGTAAGATCCTCACATCTATGGCAGGTATCTGGAGAGGTTGGGAGATCCTCACATCTATGGCAGGCATCCTCAGATGTTGTGAGATCCTCACATTTATTATTATTATTATTTATTATTTACCTTACTTATATACTGCTGTTCTCAGCCCGAAGGCGACTCACAGCGGTTCACAACAAATACAAACAGCAAAAATTCAGTGCTACAGTATAGAAACAGTTAACAACCTAACAATTTATGGCAGGCACCCTCAGAAGTTACTAGATCCTCACATCTATGGAAGACATCCTCAGAGGTTGTGAGATCCTCACATTTATGGCAGGCATACTCAGAAGTTACTAGATCCTCACATCTATGGAAGACATCCTTAGAGGTTGTGAGATCCTCATACCTATGGCAGGCATCCTCAGACGTGAGATCCTCATATTTATGGCAGGCATCCTCAGAGGTTTTGAGATCCTCACATCTACGCAGGCAATCCTCAGGTTGTGAGGTCCTCATACCTACGGCAGCTATCCTCAGAGGTTGTTAGATCCTTATATCTATGGCAGGCATCTTCAGAGGTTGTGAGATACTCACATTTATGTCCGGCATCCTCAGAAGTTACTAGATCCTCACATCTATGGCAGACATCCTGAGAGGTTGTGAGATCTTCACATCTGTGGCAGACATCCTGAGAGGTTGTGGGATATCCTTACATCTATGGTATCTTACATCAGAGGTTGTGAGATCCTCACATCTATGGCAGACATCCTGAGAACCCAAATGACATTCCATTGCATTGAGCCATGGTAGCTAAAGTGGTGTCAAGTTGCATTCATTCCACGGTGTAGATGCTCCCAGAGTCAGCATGGATGGTAGGGTATTCTGGGAGCTGTAACCCTTCAAAGCCTTGAAAGTTTTTCTGAGCTCTGATTCTGACAGGTGCCAAGTCTTTCTCCCTACAGCCAACTTGCACAATCTGCTGCCTGAAGCTTCATAAAGAGCAACCTAACTGGGACTGGATCTACACTTCCTGATATCCCAGGATTATCTTCTTATCCCAGATTACATGGCAGTGTAGACTCATATAATCTGGGATCAGATCCTGGGGTATCAGGAAGTGTAGATCTCAGAGCCTGAGCCTCCAGTTCATGGGAAATCTCCAGCCTAGTGCTAGGAGCAGATCTAGATAACAGGGAAGAGTTATGAGGAAATCTTCAGAGGAACGGCTTGCTACAATGTCAGGGTTTAATTGATTTGTTGCTGCAACTTGTATATCTTCTCCCAGTCAATGCACTGCACAAACTCAGTCTCCTCTGCGCTGCATTCATCTTCTGGTCAGGAGCAAGGAGGCCAGATGAAATATCTCTTCTGCTACTTTCGAAGGTGAGCAGGAGTCATTTCCCCATTTCATCTTGATCCGGGAACCTACCCATTAGCTAAGACTTCTCTCTTCATTTGCAAACATATGTGCGCTTTCTCTCTTTCTGTTGAAAGGACATGTTGTGAGCATCTGTCATCGATACTTAATGCATAAAGGTTCACATAAAGGCACCACCATTGAAGAGAGATATTGACAAGCTGGAATTTTTTTTGGGTTCTTGTAGGTTTTCCGGGCTATATGGCCATTTTTCTAGAGGCATTTTCTCCTGACGTTTTGCCTGCATCTATGGCAAGCATCCTCAGAGGTAGTGAGGTCTGTTGGAAGTAGGAAAATGGGTTTATATATATATATGTGGAATGACCAGGGTGGGACAAAGGACTTTTAATGTGTTGTCGAAGGCGTTCATGGCTGGAATCAATAGGTTCTTGCGGGTTTTTTTGGGCTATATGGCCATGTTCTAGAGGCATTTTCTCCTGACGTTTCGCCTGCATCTATGGCAAGCATCCTCAGAGGTAGTGAGATCTGTTGGAAGTAGGAAAATGGGTTTATATATCTGTGGAATGACCAGGGTGGGGCAAAGGACTCTTGTCTGCTGGAGCTAGGTGTGAATGTTTCAATTGACCACCTTCATTAGTATTTAAAGGCCTGGCTGAGCCTGGGGCAATCTTTTGTTGAGAGGTGTTAAGCTGTGCTTGGTTGTTTCCTCTCTGCTGTTTTGCTGTTGTAATTTTGGAGTTTTTTTTAATACTGGTAGCCAGATTTTGTTCATTTTCATGGTTTTTTCCTTTCTGTTGAAATTGTCCACATGCTTGTGGATTTCAAATGCTAATCAAGGTGGTCAGTTGAAACATTCACACCTAGCTCCAGCAGACAAAAGTCCTTTGTCCCACCCTGGTCATTCCACAGATATATAAACCCATTTTCCTAGTTCCAACAGACCTCACTACCTCTGAGGATGCTTGCCATAGATGCAGGCGAAACGTCAGGAGAGAATGCCTCCAGAACATGGCCATATAGCCCAGAATACATACAACAACCTAGTGATTCCGGCCATGAAAGCCTTCGACAATACATTGGATTTTTTTGTGTGTGTCAGGAGCGACTTGAGAAACTGCAAGTCGCTGGACCGGCCACGTTGTCCGGATGCCCAAGCACTGTCTCCCAAAGCAGTTGCTCTACTCCGAACTCAAGAACGGAAAACAGAATGTTGGAGGACAGGAAAAGAGATTTAAAGATGGGCTCAAAGCCAACCTTAAAAACTCTGGCATAGACACTGAGAACTAGGAAGCCCTGGCCCTTGAGCGCTCCAGCTGGAGGTCAGCTGTGACCAGCAGTGCTGCAGAATTTGAAGAGGCACGAATGGAGGGCGAAAGAGAGAAATGTGCCAAGAGGAAGGCATATCAAGCCAACCCGGACCGGGATCTCCTTCCAACTGGAAACCAATGCTCTCACTGTGGGAGAAGATGCAGATCAAGAATAGGGCTCCACAGTCACCTACGGACCCACCCTGGAGGATTATCCTACTCGGACAATGAGGGATCGCCTAAGTAAGTAAGTAAATAAGTAAATAAGTGAGAGAATTGGCCGTCTGCAAGGATGTTGACCAGGGGATGCCAGGATGTTTTGATGTTTTGCCATCCTTGTGGGAGGCTTCTCTCATGTCCCTGCATGAGGAGCTGGAGCTGACAGAGGGAGCTCATCTGCGCTCTCCCTGGATTTGAACTTGCGACCTGTCAGTCTTCAGTCCTCCCGGCACAGGGGTTTAACCCACTACGCCACCGAGGGCTCCTGACAAGCTGGAACGTGTCCAGAAGAGGGTGACTAAAATGATCAAGGGTCTGGAGAACAAACCCTATGAGGAGTGGCTTAAAGAGCTGGGTGTGCAACCAGCC